AATTACTCGATCAAATTGAGTCAGTTATCTTCTTATATTAAGTAGACTAGGACACACAACAACCCAAGAAAATGTAAAAATAAAATCTTAATTGGGCTTGTTATCATTCTCGCCACAATTACTTTAAGCTAAAAATGTTAAACTTCCTCATTCTGAAATCAAATTTCTACTTTTATAAGCTAATTACTTAGCACATAATAACTAGCATTAATCAAAAGCTCTCTCTCCTCATCCAAAGGGATAATTAATTATTGGGAGCGTCTATAAATAATTTGTATCAAGATCTTAAAGTCGTCACAAGATGAGGGTGAACTCCTCGATAATTTATTAATTTAAATATTTGACCAAAAATCGCAACTCTTTAAGAAAAATCAAGCATGAATTTTTGGAGCCCACATAATCTTACAAAGAACTAGAATTTAGCATTGACATACTTCATAAAGGATTCATCATTAGGGACTAGATACCCAATATGCAGCTATTCAATCAAGTTCTTTAATTGATTCTCCAGTAACTTGACAAAGTTATTAATAAACTTCATTAAGAGTTAAAAGGTTTCAGTAATTTGCTAAAATCCAAAAAGAATTAAAATGTAAAATAGCTTAGCTCTAAAAATTGATTATCTTTTGCGACAAAAATAGCACTGAAAAGCAGTCAATTCTCGTCAACGAGTTTAGATAATACCCCTACAAAAAATGAAGGCTCTAGCAGAAGATAAAACCAATCCAAGGTTACTAATTAAATCGGTGAATATGCTAGTAAATAAGCAATACAAGCGTAGACCATTTATTCTCATTGTTTGTCAATATTTGATTCATAAAAAAACATTTTTATTCAATTATACATCAAAATAAAATATATACTCAGTGTTTTAATGGGAATTTCATCAAAGAATAATCAGTTAGATTCATATCAAAGTAAGCACAAAGAATAGATATATTAAATAAATTCATTCAATTGGAAAATGATGTACATATCTTCAAACTAAAGATTACAAAGTTCTTTTCAGGAAATGCTTCTTGAGAAATGTTCACTATATAGCATACCTGGCATTTTTCTCCTTTTTTTCTTTTTATAAGTATTTGAAATTATAATAGAATAAGCTAAGATTCTTCCAAGATTAGTTAATCACAATCTGATCTACCAATACATTTACGTAGAAGACAATACCTTGTTTCTACTTATTCAAGATCACTTCTTTAAGCCAGGCAGGACAGATGAACTCGCCAGTACTAGTGCTATTTGGGGCGTGAGAAGGCATTCCAACAAGTTCTACTCTGGCTTGTTTAATATTCTCTAGCTGAGTATTCTGAGTCTGAAGCGAATATAACGACTAAGTGAGTTCTTTTCTTGATAACTCTAACTAAGCCAAAGGAGATTCTAAATTATTTATTTTACTTTGCAACTTGGACATTCTCAATTCATCCCAGTCCTTAATATTCATCGCCTTCTTCTTGATCTCCTCTTAGCAACAGTGCAAGTTGGAATCAACCTTCTTTGCATATTCCTCAAAATAATTCTTCATACCTTGTTCAAACAAGATGGATTCTTATAATTTCATTGATAATTCTTTAATTTCTTTCAAAAGTTGAGCTAAATCCATATTCTTAAGTCATTTTTTCTATAAGAATTTGCCAAGAAAAACGTATTTCATTAGAATGACATGAATCGCCTCATCACTAATGTGTAAAGATATTGACAAAATTCCAAGTGATTATAAACACTCGGAGAAAACAACATGATCGAGATCAAAAGTCGACTGTTTAATTTAGTTTTTGTCAATAGCAGGTCTACACTAGCATTAACTAATATTTGGCCTTTCTTGTCCCATTGGGGAATTTCTTTGGCCTTTCCTTTTCCATTTCTATAACAGCTTGAATTTTCTTAAAGAATGACTATGGATTATTTCTCTTTACCTTTTTCGATTCCACTCATTTTCTAAGGCAAATTCTCGGTAACAATCTCACTAATTGGAATGAACTGACTTGCTGCAAAACAAATAGATTCGTCAAAAACATCTCAACATAAACCCAGCTCAGTATTGGCATTTCCTCACCATCACTAATCCCTACTCATTCTTGGTTTTCTTCAGAGATAAATAATAAACATTCTTTCAGAGATAAATAATAAACATTCTTAGAAGAGCGCTAAGAGATGCCGCCTAGAAAACCATCCAAACTCTTTCATGTTGCCTGATCATAGAAAAGGAATCTCGACTAGGATTTAAACAATTAAAATAAAAAAAGGTTTGTGAAATTTTAAAGCGATTAATCACAAAATTAAAAGAAAACTAAAAGGTTACGGAGCAATTTACTTGAAAAAGGTTGTCCAATTAATATTTTAGGTTGACAGAGGATTTTAAGTATACTAAACATAATCTAACTTTCTCTTCAAAATTATTAAAGGACCTGACCTTTTCTTGAGAAAGATGTAGCAGAGTCAACTTATCATGTATCTCGATATGCTGAGAACTAATTGGGCACATTGATTTAATAAAAAAAGAAGATTTTCTTCCAATCTTTTAACTTATTTTTCAAAACTAAAATTAGTAAATACTCAAAGGAAAAGAAAAAACGCATCCTTAAAAGCTTTGACATCAAATATGAATCAAATAATATTTATGCTCCATTTTACCCATCATTTTCCAGGTAAACAATAAAAAATATGAAGCTAGCCTAAGAGTTGGGGACAACATGAGCATATCAATCCTAAGTATTGAAACATGAGGGGGCAAAGAAATCTACAATATAAGGAAAAATTGGTCATGATAAAAGCACAACTAGTCATCCTTGAGTATATTTGGGAAATCACCTCCGTTCAAAACTCAAACCACAAAACTTTCACCAAACTCAAACTCACGGAAAATTTAAATTATATTGTGTGATTAATAAAGAGAATTCAATATTTTCCTTAAAAAAAAATCTTGATAAAGCTAAAGAACACTTCAATGTTATAATTCCTTTGAGACAAAGTCATTGCAGAGATTGAGAAAATAGAGCAGAAAGATAAAATTGAAATAAAAAAGATTATAAAGGAACTCACAGAAGACAAGTGTCATACAAATACCACACAAGACAAATCATTAGATTGTAATCTAGAATAACAGAAAATTGAGGTGACATAACATCAGTAGTCAAATTAACGGATAAATAAAAAAGTAAACAGAGAAAATAAACAAAAGCACTTTTTTTATTACATTGAATCGGCCAAACAGCAAGAACATATAATTACAAAGTGAGTTCATTATGAGGGATGAATACAGGTTGCAGGCAAATTCTAAAATTCTGCAGCAAGAGAAGAATTCACCTTTCGCAATAAAATTTAAACAATAAAATCGAAGTAAGGCTTGATGAATAAAATGCCATGGCATAAACTTGGCACTACTAACAAACTGACTGATTCCAGAGAAGTTACACTCTTCAATAAGAGACCCCGCTTTGAAAATTATTTAATTTCAACTTAATATCATTGGCAACAAGAATAAGTTGATTAGAGAGCATGGCAAACTTTTCTATCAAGTCGCCAAGATGATTTTTTTTAACATTTCAAAAAGCTGAAGTTCAGTCAACCTTTCAGCCATCCTTGACTTTTCAATGACTAAGTTGGATTGTAAGGCAAGGACCATCTCCTTAAAATTTCAAAATATGCATGTGAATGATTCCAAGATTAGAGAATTTCAAAGTGGCAAATCCAAGATTATTAGTCTAAGGTCTTCCTCAACTCTCAATCTTCATTCCTCTCCAGCAGCATCATGGCAACCTCCAAGTGAATCTGATTTGATGCAACTAGTCAAAACGAAGAATATAGTAGACTCCTTAGGTTCTAGCAAGAACTGGCCGCAAAATACACTCAAAACAATACTCAGCCAAAGCTACTCGCCTAGTTTCAAATGCTTGTCCCCCAGGCATGAAAGCTACTCACTGGCATTCAATTTATTGAACAAGCTTGTAATTTCATCCAATCAGTTGATTACATCATTCAACCAAGTTAGTGATCTCATTCAGTTAGCTCGGCAATTTCATTCAGTCAAAGTCAGTAAATTCATCTAGCAGCATTTTCAATCAATTATCAACTAGTATTTTTCAAGTATCTCGTTGCACTTCTCATGTAAAGCATTGTTATGTATTTTCATATTTTATAAAGCTTAAATATATTTTTTATGTAGAATCAAACTCAAGCCTAAGGCAATGGATTAGAGGCAAAGACCAAGCCTTAACAGTTCAAATCATTTATACTCAAATCTTGTACTTTTGGCAATCTAGTAAAATCTCAAAAGCATATGTGCGTAAATATTTTATTTATTTCTCTAACTTTTTTATTTTGTGTCTTGTGAGCCTTGTTATCAAGTTTCTGGCGTTGCCCACTTATTTCATCTCTAAAAATAGATTTCAAGCTACGCAATTTTCAAAAAAGATTAAGCTCTTTGTATGGTATTGATATCTTATATTTCAATCCTAGTTCAATGAATTTTTATCATAACTTAACTCCAGGGAATTAATTCTTAAGAAGTACATGAGTTATCAAATCTCAAGCCAATCCAACTTTGGCCTAAGACAGTCACAAAATATCTTGGTTAAAACTTGAGCTGAATCAGTCTAAGCCAACGTTAACAATAAGTGAAAGAAGGGACTTGAAAAAATGAAGTACATATGTATTTCATTATATAATTTTATAAAAAAAATATTAAATACATATATAAGATAATAATCTTAATTAGAAATTAAAAAACTATTAAGAAAATTAATTGATTGAATCAGCTTGAAACACAATTTGAGATCAATCCCTTTCAGCTTAACTCAAATTTGGCTCGTGTTGAAATCAAAGTATTCAACTTTGCGTTAAGCAAAACTCAATACCACCCCTAGAATTAGCTATCAGTTGGTTTGACCATTTCTTCACAAAACTACTTCAACCACACTAAGATACAGAATGAAATCAATAAAGCAGAAAGGAGGGACATGAAATAATGAAGTTTAAAACCACAAAAATAAAGAAATTACCTGGTTGCATGACACAGATTTTAAAAAAATCTCTTTTAACTTGTATGCCGGCAGTTTTTGCCTAAAAGATTGCATAGCTGTTGCACTAAAAGTTGCCTGTAGAAAACAAGCAGTCATTAAATTGTGATACAGAATCAGCCTCAAACCAGTAATAATGCTGATAAGAAGCCCTGGGGGATTTCTTGAAAAACTTTCCAACATAGGATTAGAGATGAATAAGCTTTAGCACTAACAAAATTTACCTTCTTAGAAATTTGTAGGTCTCTAAGTTCAGCACTGAACCTCTCCCTGACAGTGTTAGGCTGGCTGTCTTTAATCAAATCATGTTTAGAAAAAACAGTATCAGAAAAACATTCTTTTATTGTTGCGGTCGATGAACTCCAAGAATCATGTTTTCTTGTCTGGCTGGAAATATTCCCTGTATCACTTGTGGTCCCTGCCGCCTTCGATCTTGCTAAGAGATCTTCAACCCTTCTCTCAGTTTCTATAGACATCACAATCTGCAGAGAGATTTTTTTTTTTTTTTTTTAAGGATCTTGAGAGTTGCATTAGAAAATATAGCTTACAACCAGATGTTATCATTCTACCTCTTTCTGTGTTGACCCATGACGTTGATCTAGATCTGCCCGGTAATCCGGTAATGGAAATTTGCTGAAAACTAGTGACTTCCCCTTGTTGTAAGCATGGCTTTCTTAACAAAAAAATCACAAAATTGTAAATAAACATCAAGCATCCTAAAAGAAAGTTTAGCACTACCATAATAACATGGATGCCCAAAGAAAGACTGAAGTTGCATTAGGACTAGACTCTTTATAGTTAGACTATATAACTGAAGTATTCTTGATAATAAAACACCATACACCATTTCTACTGCTAATTCACAGCAAAATAACTGTGAAGATGACAATATCGATGGAAAATAAAAAAGGCATTAAACAAATTAAAACAGGCCTACAAGTGTATATAAACTATCAAGAACATACTGATATGGACTTAGATTGAAATCACAAGAGCATGATGCAAGCATAACATATTTAGGTGGTCCCCTGGAGAAACAAATAAACTGCCATCTAAACTCACAAATAAAGGTCATGCTGATGAGCCATCTCTTCAAGTGTCTGTTGCCCTTCACGGCCAAAATTACGGTTAACAATTAGCTCTTGTTGACTACCATCTTTCAACTGCTGCAGTTTAGTCTGCCATTCGTTTGGATCGAGCTTTTCCACCTGAAAATTATAAAATAAAAAATAAAAAGACCAATATTTATCAGTTCCAGACTTCCAGTTCATAAATATCCAGATCAAAGCAGCAAAAGCAAACTCTCAGTGATTGTCTAAAGCAGAAAAATGGTAAAAGATCGTAGCAAATTATCAAAAAAAATGCTTCTCAGTGAACCGATCAGCAATTCCAGATACTTTAATAGTTTAGACCCAAGAAAGGTGAGCTTTTGTTCAAATCAGCATAAGGAACATCATTAAGTGCTACAGTAGGAGGTTTTGATAACTAGTAAAATGATCACATTATTCAACAACTTCCTAGTGGAGAATTCCTCTTCTATGTCTTTATTCCATAAAGGTGAAACTGGAATAAACTACCATTTTAAATTTGGTGCTGGAGAATCACTAGAAAAATAGTGTGTTCATCATTCACTTTCTATTTTAGCATTAAAAAAAAATAATAGTAGAATTAAGGTCTCGATACCAACTTCCAGCTCTTACCACGTTTGTACACCTTCTATATTAAATAATCAACAATAAATCAACTATATTTTGTAAATTAAGAAAAACCAAAACAGTAGAAAATAATCTGTTGCATGAAGCTTGAGTATGAATCATCTGTCAATTAACAATGCCACATCAACACAAAAAAAAAACACCAGATAGTCAAATTGAACTTAGCTTGGGCTTATCCATGGTAACTCAAGCCAGAGTTATTGGTTCAAACTTGTTAACCTGCTTTCAAATTAACCTTCATCTCATCCTGGGTTTATGTTAAGTCATCAACCCCAATGCTTGAACACATCCAAAAGTAACATGTATTGTATGTTGCAACACCAATATCCAAAACAAAATTACAAAACCAAATAAAACTTTAGCCAGCTTGTCAATAAAACACTTTTTCCACTTAAAAAAAAACTAATAAGAGATACTGTGGGGTTATTTTCACACTCATCCTCCTTTTTTCTCTCCAAAGGATGCATTTTAAGAACTTTAATTGAGCATGAGAACATTAGCCTCTTATTCTTGTAATCAATTTAACCAAACAGCAATGAATATTTCAAAATAATAATGCTCAACAAAATATTTATAGTGCATGATTTGTTTTGCATAGCCTTCAATCAAAGAGGATTGCTTGTCTACAATCACATAACCCTCGATTAAATAGAGTTTCTTGCCAGTAATTACCATCCTCCAAAAGCTGCATTTAAGAAATATAAATCCAGGTGACACCTATGGGGCCATTTGGTATCCTATTTTAGACAATACTTGATCAAGTCCTATCAAACATATTTTTTGGGAATTCAAGATCCTATTTTCTTGATAAATATCGTTATATTTCTTAATCGATTAAATTTAGGATTTATACAATCCCATCATTCAAGGGATTAAATGAATTTAACAATTTCTTGTTCTCATTAATTTTCATCCTGAAACAAATAGTTTTAGCAAGACATTATAATTTTCAAGCCAATTTTCCGGTTTTAAACCTCTCAAGATTCGTTGAATCTGGATTCACAGGATTTACTGAATCCTACTAGATTTAAACACTACTGGTAGCCAAACAGTGCATCAAAATCACCATTCGAGTTCAAGCAGCCACTGATAAGCTTTGATAAGCACAATGATCGGCTAAAGTCACTTTTTTGCGCACAAAACTCTCCTATGTAATCAGAACAACGACTCGCTTTCAATCTATCAAAATCAATTCCGCATCCAAATAACATGTCAAAGAACAAAACCCTAAAAACAGGTGCACTCTTTGGGTGAAGACCCAAGATGATGAAAGAACTACAAATCGAAGCAAAAAGAGAGGTAAACACCGGCCCGGCCATTTCGCGAAGTCGCTCGGCTCTCCATTGGGGATCCCACCATCGCTGCTCGCCGCCGCCGCCGCCACCTCCTCTTCGGCCACTAGCGCCGCCACCTCTTCCTCGGCCTCCGCCAGCACCGCCGCCTCGCCGGCCACCCTGGTAATTCGGGCGGTACGACATGGAGACGTGGTGTGAGCGGGTAGCTTCAATCGCTGCTAAATGGCGATGGCAATCGAAAGAGTTGATGCAGGAATTGAAGACGCGGCGGACAGTCATCAGCTATGTACCAGTGAGGCTTTATTTGAGGGTCTAGCTAAACCCTCCCACTCGTGCACCTAAATTAAACAGAGGATTTACATATATACCACTACAAATATTTATATTTTAATAGAGGGGAACTTACAGATATCTCACACTTAAATTTTGTTCTTTACATTTATACCATCCAAGTCTTTCCTGTGACATAATAAATATCAATTTTTTAATTTTAAAAGGTAAACCCTTTCACTCTCGCCCCAATTTCAGCAAACACTTTATCCATCAACATATCTGTTTGACGCAGCTGCAGATTGTCAGCTTTTCAGCTGCAGCTGCGCTGCCCCAGGAAGCAGTTGTGGGGAAGCAGCTGCGGGGAAACTGACTGTCTGTTTGGTGCGGCTGCGTGAAAAATGCTGTGAGCCAGCTGTTTCATGTAGAAATGACCAAACCCCTGATTGTTAAAACTGTTTTAAATTTTTGATTTATTTGTATAAATATGTGTTTAATATACATAAAATTTATAAAAAATTATTTCTTAATTAATTAGATGAAATATATTATTTTTAAAATTCGTTTTTATAGAAATTTTTTTAAAAAAATTTGTAATTTTGAAAACATATAGGTTTAAAATTTATCTTTATCTATATATCAGTGTATACAAATATTAACTCAACGTGTTCGACATCTACACTTACATAAACTATTTTAAATTTAGAAACATATATTTTAAAAGTTTTAATCATTAAAAAAGTTATTTATTACATCATCAGTGCCAATAAAGTAACTTCTACTACCAAACACTCGTAAGTTACAATTATTTTGTCTTTCTAACAAATTGCAAATGAATCACGTATTAACCAACGCATTAGTAATTTGTTCTCGAATGGCCGTCATTTCAGTTGCACCTTCCCCTTCCTTAGTGCAAATGGTTGATTGTTCGTTGTCATCTCGTAACATAGAACTACCCATTTGGTTTTCAGATGGGTCTTCAACTAGTTCCCGTTGATTTGCTTCAGCATTGAGGAAATCAACGTCATATCGCGACGAGTGCCGCCTAATATAATTGTGTATTGTCATCGTTGCTATCACAATTTGAACGTGCTTTGAAAACGGGTAAGGAGGCATATCACGTAAGATCACCCATTTTTTCTTCCAAACACCAAATGTTCGCTCGATGACGCCTCGCAAAGAGGAATGTCTTTTGTTGAACACCTCCTTTTTGTTTCTTGTAACATTACTTGCTCGTTCAAAATCAGGTATATGATATCTCGTATCAGGATATGATTTGAGATGCCCTCGCTGCAACGGATAGCC